GGCGACGGGCCGGGCATCACGTAGGCGCCCGCGGTGGGAGGGGCGGGGCCCTCGGCGGCTCCCCAACCTGAAGCACCCATGCCGGCCCGGCCCCGCCCCGCTCAAGGGCAAGTTGAAGGTCACCTCGGGGCGGATGGGCGGCAGCACCGGGGCTCCGACCCCGAGCATCCCGCCACCTCGTGCGGCCCCGACGGGAGCGGAAATACGGCGGGGGCCGGCTCCGGAGCAGGATCAACTCCCCACCCCACCCCACCCCGTGGGCGGCTCCACTCCGGTCCCGGGGGTTGAACCTGGAGCCGGAAACCGCACCGCCGCCGTCCCCACGTGGACCCGGAACGTGGGCTCGGCCGAGCCCCGGCGCTGCCCTCGCGTTTACCGTGACATTACTCTTCACGGATCGCATCCAAGGGCCCCGGATCTCAGGTCCTTTCCACCCTGAAATCGGCCTCAAAGTTTGGGAATGTGCGGGGGGCGGGGGGAGAGGAAGAAAGGCGTCCCGAAGGCGGGTCGCGCCTTCCTGGTGTCCCACACTCCCCAGCCAGGGGAAGCGGGCAGCGAGGGCCCAGGGACCCATTTCACTTTTCAATTGTGACACAAGCCGGAAGAGCACTGAAGATCAGAGCGGAGGAAAGCCATTTGACAACAACAATAATAAGCTCCTAGCGGGAAACGCGAGGCACGGCCGGGACCCCCTGCGCGCGACCCCGCCGTGTCCCGCAATGCAGCAGCCGCCGCCGAGGCTCCGCCTGCCGCGCGCGGGGAACGCGCGGGGCGGGAAGCCCCGTGGGGGACCCCGCTGGGATGGGGGGGTTCCCCGACGCTGCGGGGGTTCAGAGCGGGAGCAGGAAAAGATCGAGCTGGGCGGTGGTGGTGTTTAGGAAGGGACCCTCCCTCGCCCCTACGACTCAGCAGCTGCCCAATCTACCAGGGGGATGCCAGGAGACGCCCGCCCCCTCCCCCGCCCATCTCCATTAACGAAACAAGCCTAGAGGCGGAAACGATCGGAGGGCGGAATACCCCGCAGCTCCATCCCTGTATCCTCCGCGCCCCGGCCCCGCAGCCCGGCGCTTTCCCCGGCTCGCGTCACCACTGACGCGCCCAGGTGCCCGGTCTCCTTCCCGCCCCCCCCTTCCCCCGCCCGATCCGACCGCTTCTCTCCCCGGATTCCCCGCTTCCCCGCCACCCACCCTCCGCAGCCCTTTCCACCCCCGCCACCGTCCTCCCCTCCGGGGGGTGGGGAGGGAGGGGACGGCGGGAGAGCCAGCGCGCACCTTGGGCATCCCCGCCGCTGGTCAGCACACCGATGGCCCGGCCAGCCCCGGAAAGGTGCTCCAGGTACTTCCCGAGGGAGCTGCTCGAGGACTCGGAAGTCACGTCGCCCATGGCGAAGAGACTGGTGGGGCGGACGCCGGATCGCTCCGGCGCGCAGCAGGCAGTGAGGACCTGACCCACGCGCGTCCGCCTCGGAACCGCCGCCCCGCCAGCTCCGGGCAGGGACCGCCCCCTGCCCCGCCCCGCTACCCTCCGGAGGGCCAATGGGCGGCGGCGGGGGCGGGGTGAAGTGGGTGGGGCGGGAGCGGAGGGTGGAGAGGAGCGCGCGCACGCGGGAGCCTGGGACGCGGAGGGTCACCGCGCGCAGGTGGCGCAGCAGGTGGCGACTGCCGCGAGCGAAAGGTCGCGGGTGGTCGCGCCGCCCGCGGAGCCCCCCGCCTCGGCCTGCGCGGCTCGCGGCGGGCCGGGGCTGCTCCGGCTGTTGGGGTGGCGGTTTTGAAAGGGTCGCGGCGCGCCCGGATCTCCACCGGATTCTCCCTGGGGGCGGCGCTCGCAGCGGAGGCATGACCCCCCCATGTTGTTTTCTCGTGGGGGGGGGTGGCCTGTCCGCCCCCTGCCCCTGAATTTCGTCTTCAGCCTGAAATCGGGATCTGGACGGGGACACGTGGGTGGGGTTCCCCGGGAGCCCGGGCGTCTGTCCGGGGGACGCGCCTTGGCGCGGGAGCGGGCATCCGGCGGAGGAGGGCGTGGAGGGCGCGATCGGACACCCGCGGGCGCAGGCCGGACACGCCCGGTGCGGTCGGGCGGCTGAGCCACCCCTAGCCATGCTGAGACAGCATGATCGATGATCGTGTGCGGTCGATCGCGTCATTTCTTGGGGAGCTTCTTAGGAAGCTCCAGCCTGCTCCGGAGCGGCCGCCTGGGTGGCCGGTGTCCCCGTCGCTCGTGATGCGGAAGCGAGATCCTTAGGTGACGGATTGAGAAATGGAAAAGACTGAGCGAAGGCTATAAAATCAACAGAAGCTTTAAAAAAAATAGGGCAGTCCTGAAAAAAATTAAAAAATATGGGATGTTTGCCTCGCCCACTGGCTTATGTAAGCATCAATATTTTAGTATGACAAAAAGGAAAGAAAAAAAAAACTGCTGAGGATGAGGATGGATGAGGTCCGAATGGATGGAACCATCGCGGAAATCCGAATGGACTTGACAAGAAAGCCTGGCTGAGGGAGGCCCCAGAGGCTCCTGCCCCCTTTTCCAGTCGAATTTTCTGGGAATGCAGCCAGGGAATATGTATTTTTAACAAGATGGCTAGGTTTTCCTGTGGAGTGCAAAGTTGGAGAGAAGCTGCCCTAATGAATGGGAATGATTCCTATAAAAAAAGAAAAAGAAAGAAAAAAAGACGTTCTGAAAATGTTTCGGGTACCACTGGCGCTAAGCACCCAGCCACCGGGACTTCTGTGGATGGAAAGTGAGGATCTCTGCTCTAGAACTGGCGTGCTGATCATTCATGCTTTCCCTAAAGCAGATAATACTCCAAAATATTAAAAAAAAAAAAAAGATGGGGCTGGGAAGGTGGCTCAGTGGTAGAGCGCTTGCCTTGCATGCTCGAGGCCCTGGGTTCGATTCCTCAGCACCACATAAGCAAAAAAAAAGCCGGAAGTGGCGCTGTGGCTCAAGTGGTAGAGCGCTAGCCTTGAGCTGAAGAGCTGAGGGACAGTGCCCAGGCCCAGAGTTCAGGCCCCACGACCGGACCCAAAAAAAAACAAAAAACAAAACAACAACAAAAAAAGATGGTGCACCCTGGATTTTATCTTAGCCAAACGCTCTTTATCTTCTTGCTGGTGTGGAACTCCCAATCCTGCTGCCCTCCCCTCCCCCTTTCAGGGGATAACAAAGATGGGCCAGCATCTCATCAGGCTATTCCTTTCCGGCTGCTCTCTTTCTCTCTGAGCTTCGGCTACAGTGGCGAAGTGCAGATCACTTTTGTCCCTTGATAGATCCCTAAGGTCCATTTCTAAGGGGGCCATCTCCTCTCTGCTTATCCCTCACAGGCTGCAGTCCCCACAGACATCCTGACCTATTGAAGTGGCTTCCCGTCCAGCCTCTGGTGATGGATGGGTACAGGATGGAGGTTGGGCATCACAGGAGCTAACCTCAGCCTGAGTGGATGGGAAGGGCCTTGCTGGTGAGGCCTAGTACTGATCCAAAGGAGGGATGCCAATGTGCAGCCAGAAGGCAGAAGATGGGGAGGAGAAGGGAAAGGAAGAGATCAAAGGGGGAGGGGCATGGGCAGCGAGAGGAAGGGAAGACAGCTTGAGACACAGAACTACCTGGCATACCTAAACTGGCTCTCCTCCCATACTATTTCTGTGTTTCCAACACACAAATATATTGAGATTGTGGGCTCTTCTTCCTTCCGTTGTCTTTCTCATGTAAGGTTTTTTGTTTGTTTGTTTGGTCAGTAGTGGGGCTTGAACTCTGGGCCTAGGCACTGTCCCTGCACTTTTCTGCTCAAGGATAACACTCTTCCATTTTAGCCATAGCACCACTTCCAGCTTTCTAGTGGTTTATTGGAGATAAGAATCTCATGGACTTCCTGCCCCAACTGGCTTTGAATCGTGATCATCAGAGCTCAGCTTCCTGAGTAGCTTGGATTACAGGCATGAGCCACAGGCACCCAGCTTCTCATGTAGTTTTATTTAATCTTCGCCTCAAATCTACCTTCTGTACTATAACTTCTCAGATTTCTACCAAATAGCTTTTCAAATAACCAAAGGGGAAAAAAGCTTTCCAAAAAATACAGTTTTTTAAAAAAAGCATTCAAAAGGCTGGGCAAGGGTGGCTCGTGCCTATAATCCTACCTACTCAGGAGGCTGAGATCTGAGGATCATGATTCAACCTCAGTCCAGGAAGGGAAAGTCTGTGAGACTCTTTATCTCCAGCAAAAGTTTTAAAAATAATTCATTTGTACTTGTGTCTGAGTTTCTCTGAAATATGGTGGCACTATTTCCTAATACTACTCTCTAAAACCCTTCCCTCAGTTGTATTTTGTCTGGGTGTATTTTTTTTCCAAAAATTTTCATGAGGTAAGGTGTAAAATTTAATTTTCCATATAAATAAAATACCAAAGATGTGTGCACGTTCTACCACTAGTTATAAGCACTAGATGGCTTTCTCCTGACCATTGATTACCTATTAGACACATTTTCGGTTTCCCTTTCTTCTTAGCTCTTAGCTTGCTTGACTTCATGGAAGATAAAATGCTAAATAATAGGGATGAATTCTAGGTTTCTCTTTCCATCTAAATAATTCTGTTTCTTTTTCTGCTCTGGGATGCTGAGCTCTACTGCCTACAACCCAGAGATTTCTGGAAGAAAATCCAATTAGGAAACAGGGTTGGGTTAATTCTGTGGCAGCCTCAATTATCAGGGTTCAGGAGACATCAGCAAGAAAACAGATCTTCATGCTCTGCTGCTCACTTGCTGGGGGGAGGCTTTCTTGAGTTACATCTTTCATTGTCCTTGGACTCAATCAATTCAGTGCTCAGACACATATTAGATCTCACGTGCTAACTTCCGGTAGGATAAATCAGTAGTTGCTGCCAGTTGGTAGCATGAATATAAACAGGTGACACCAAAGAGTTCTCAGAGAAGTGAGAGGCATGCCTCATAGACACAACCTGGGAAGATTTTAGAGGCCTGTGAAGAATATACACAGTCCCCTAGGTAATGGAATCTTATTAGGTAGGTTATTAGGATTGTTTTCATTTTGCCTTGATTTTTGCCGTTAAACTGTGCGCTGTAGGCTCAATTTCTGCCTTTCGTACTAGCAAATACGATTTCAGAGCCTCTTACCAAGTTTTTTTAAATAGTTTGATCCTTTGTTATTTTAATTCATTACTGTTACTGTTATAATTTGTGCCAGTACAAGGGCTTGAATTCAGGCACTTGCACTCTCAGCTTTTTTGCTTGTGGCTGGCACTCTACTACTTGAGTCACGCCTCCAGCAGTTTTGCTAATTTGAGATGGACTCGTGCAGACTTTGCTCCCCTGATAGTTTCAACCTGTGATCCTCAGATCTCCACCTCCTGAGTAACTAGGATTTAAGTATGAGTCTTTGGAGCCAGGCTATGGTAATTATTAATGTTACCACTGATATTCATTATGTATTTGTTAAGAAAATGAAAGCGAAGAGGGCTTCTCACTGTCCTGAGAGGTTGGCATGGTGGTTGGAGACCACAACTGGCTTTCTTTTCAGATGCAGCCCCCCCTGGGAAATCCAGTGATCAGACAAACCCTATTCCACCTTAATGTTTTGTTTCTTTACTGGAGCTCTCCACCAGAACATCAAGGAGATTTGTGGGGTGCCTCCTCCTCCACACATCCCCCTGCCCCCCCACGCTGTACTGTGTCTGAGTTCCATATATCTGAGCTGGCAGCTCCCAGATGCACCTCACCACAGAATCCCAGCCTCCTCCAGGCAGATGCCTTTGCTAAGTAGAAGCCAGTTTGGCCTAGACTGCCAGAGTCTGCAGCCTCCTCCAGGGCTGGGTGGAGTCACCCCGGTGATACCACACTGGCACCGGAGCCACCCACGCACACCTGCTCTGGTTTGCTTATCTCCACTATGGCAAAATGCCTAGCCATAGTACACCATGATTGGGATTTGGGTTGTGGTTTTTTTTCTTTTTGCTGGTTTTTGGTTTTTTGAGACAAGGGCTCAGCTGTGTAGCATAGGCTAGCTCACATTCTTTCTGCCTTAGCAGAAGAGAATATAGGCATGCACAGCATGCCCAACTTAAATTCCTCTTTTTTAATAGCACAAACCAAACACACACACACACACACACACACATCTTATGAGCTATGGGTAAGGTGAAAAGACCTAGGATTTTAGTATTAAGGCTTGTGTTTAAAACTGGTCCTGTTGTGGACTCCCTGACCAGAGCTAGAGCCTTTCCTCATTTATTACATTAAAAAAAAGAGATTAATACACACTCTCCCCAACTCTGGAGAGGATTAGACTAATCAGCTTAGGTTGCCATAACAAAATACCACAGGCTGAGAGACTGGAACCACAGACATGCGTTTCTCACAGCGCTAGAGGCTCAAGTCCAAGTTCTGAGATGAAGGGCTGATAGGTTCAGGGTATTGGGGGGGGGTGTCTCTTTTTCTGGTTGGCAGG